CAATTACTGGTTGAGCAGCAACAAATACTCCAAGTGCCCCGTTTCTACTATTTAGAACCACCATAAACGACCAATGGGACTACTCAGTTGAGATAAAATAGAGAAATAAAAAAGCCAGGTCAGCGTTTACAACAAAAATCCGTTTATTGAGATGCTACGTGTTTACAGTGCTGCTCTATGGGCTTGAATCAGGTGGGTGATCACCTGGGTGGACCGAGTAACAAACATTGAGGTTCTACGTCGGATAGATAAAACATGTAAAATTATATCCACAGTGAAATAGCGCAAGCTAGAATATCTTGGACATATAATGCGAAACGACCATAGATATAACCTGCTACAACTTATACTACAGGGAAAGGTCTACGGAAAGAGGGGACCAGGAAAGAAGAAGAATTATTTTGGCTCCAGAATTTACGAAAATGGTTTTACTTGACCACTTCAGGACTATTTCGAGCTGCGGTCAATAAAGTTAGCATTGCCATGCTAGTTGCCAACATCTGTAACGGATAGGCACCACAAGAAGAAGAAGAAGATAAAGTAATGGTTAGCGTTTACGATTATTCTCAAGTAAGTACACGATGTTTATCTTCAGCGTTAGGAATCAGCAAAACTTTAAATTTAAAAATTCTACGCGAGCATTTTCACCACTTACCAGCAGATTTATCTTTATTCTGCAAATTTGCAAATTATATCCGAAACAGCCAAAATCTTGACCACTCTTTCGTCGATAGAAGGGATTTCTAACGCGAATTATCAATCATTTTTTTAAAGCCATGCGAGTTACCTTGTAATTTGAATGGTGAGAACTATTTACATTTTTTACAAACTGATTTTACACTCACACACACACAGTGATCAACCCTGCCACTTAGGGATGTGTATACCATTGTAAAGTGGGATCCACATGTCCGAAGATCAAATGATTTTATTGATTTGCCATTAAATTGAATGCAAATTATGTGGTTTATGCAAAAACACTTTTATACGAAGGCAGTGGATTGGTTGTGATAGTTATTTTCCTTGGCCAGTACGTAGCTCAGAATTTAATCCGCTTAATTTTGGTGTATAAGGCGCATTTAAAAAACGTATCTCATGTAATCCCATTCGCAACCAACTTTTTTTTAAAATTTATATAATAAATTTATTTAAAATCTTTTATGGAACGTATTTATAAATGCATTAAAGAAAATGGTGGAAATATAACAAACACTAACTTTGACAAAAAGTTTATTGTTATTTAGTTTAACCATTTTTTAATTTGGTTTGTAAATAAAATTTTTTGATTATGACTTTAATTTAATAAAAAACGTAAAATGTTTTGATTTAAAATTCTATTAACCAATTATTTTGTTAAACTATTATCATATTAACATTGGTTAAAGGATTTGGTAACAAAATTCAGAAGTTTTGATGTTTTTTCTATTTTTCCTTCTTGCCTGGAGTAATTGCGTTAAATCATAATTATGCAGCTGATTTATAAAATGCGACTATCTTATTTTTGTTAAACATAATCTATATTTAATATTTTTTGACAAAAATAGCAATAACTTTAAAGGCAAAAAAGTTATGCGCACTATTCAAGATATATGGCACATGTGGCGTCCTCTAAAGCATGCATTAAATTATAATTTGTTATACTCAAAAGCACCCAGATGTTAATTTTTATACATAAATGTTGACAAACATAAAAGTTATAGCGAAAAATAAAATTTTAAATTTAGATAAAAGTTGGCATAAATCGCAATATTTTAAAGTGTAGAATCTCATGTTTCTTTTTGCACAATTACTTCAGGACCACTCTGTATATTATGGTATATTCACCCACCTGTACATTTGATAGCCTCGATAAAATTATCTTTGCTGTTTAAACGTTTTCTTTAATATTTTCATCATATATAAATATAGCCCGCAGTAACTATCGAATGGTTTCACACACCATGTTAGCTTAATTGTGATATTACCTCCACCATTTACCAGTAAATTGGAAGACGATCGACGGAAGCAATGTTCTGTGTATAAATCGTAGGAAGTCTTCTAGGTTCAAATATTGAGCAATTTCGTTCGGTGTTTAAAAAGTAGTAATAGCAATGATGACACGAGATGGTATAATGTTGATGGAAAATATAAAAGAGATTAAATTAAGGGAATAAAGGCGACAGGTTCTCGACAGGGAAAGAGAGAAGGAGGTTTAAAGATAGTGTTAGCCTCATGAAGGACAATATCGACATCTGATGATTACTAAAATTTAATACAATGTCTTCTTGAATGCTATTTTTGCTTGATGTTTTGTTAATTTTTGTTTTTTAATATTCTCTCATTTTTATTTAACTCATTTTTTTTTCAATTACTGTGTTGATTATTTGATAAACAAAATATATACAGTTGCATTTCGATTAAATTCGAATCTCTGACCATTAACGGTCATCATAAATTTTATAGCGCGGAGTTTTGGAGTACCTATTTTTATTTATGTAAGTATTATGACCTTAGACATTGTTATTTTGATTATTTGCATATTGTATCTGATTTTAAGTTGAGAAATTAAACAATAATAATTATAATAATAATATTAATAAACAAATTGCTAATTTAAGAACTTATTTTTAGGTACATTCTGAGACATCTACTTTACATCGAGAAGATACACCTCCGAGGGAACAAGAAATGGGCATAAGCCAGCTGACTCAGCAAGAAAATATGCGCACCTGATGAGTAAACATCTGCATGGGAGACATGCCAACGAGATCAGCCAAGAATATATCAACAATACAGCGTCGAACCATTGGTTGATATCAAGAAAGATGTTTCCCGAGACTGAGGGTTTCCTACTTGCCATTCAGGATCAGGTTATTCCAGCGAAAAATTACCTGAAATATATTTTATAATCCTCAAGTCCTAAACGATAAATGCCGATATTGATGCCAAGCCCAAGAAACCATCCAAAATTTTACATGTGGCTGCCAGGCATTTGTCGGTACTGATTATAGAAAACGCCATAAGTCAGTGGGAAAGATTATCCACCAAGAACTAGCTGACAGACTTCTTCAAACCGACCATCTTCTTTATTATTATTACGTCCATGACAGAATGCTTGGAAATGACTACATACAAATTCAAATCAGGAGACAATGGAGAATGAAAAGTACTCAGATAGTACCTATTATTCTATCTACTACTGGTGTTTATTCCCAAAAACCTCCTAGAGAACATAAAATAGCTGAGTCCAAATGAACATCTCTATAAGGCATTCAGAAAGCTGTACTCCTCACGACGTCCAGATTAGTACGAAAATTTTTGGGAGATACTCCAATATACCAAATCACCTAGGGCTCGATAACACGAAAAAAAGTCCCACCAGAGCTCAATCCTTTTGATACCATATGTATCTTAGATAAGTGAATTTTCCCCTTAGAGGAAGTGTGAGCCGTATGGCTAAATCTGGTTATTATATTAAATTATATTAAATTTTGGTTTTTTTTCAGATAAACCACAAACATATTTAAACGTACTTTGTCAACAGAGGAGATTGCTTATTTAGCTAAACATTTATTAGATGAAAATGAAAAAGAAGATGTAGACAGTTGTCCCGTAGAATTTGAAGAACCCGAAATATCAGTAATAAGCAAAAAGCCTTTTTGAAAATAATAAAAATAACATGATCGACAATAATATATGCTGCACTAATAGATGTATTGCGGAAATAAGATTACGTCAAGAATATTCTAGAGAACGAGACTGCAAAAATATAAATAAAAACGAATTTATGGCGTATTTGGGGTTGCTGATTTTGGTTGGGATAAAAAAATCGTATTCTGCAAATGTTAGAGAAATGTAGGCAAGCGACGGAATAAGAGTTAAGATAATGAGGGCTGTTATGATTTACAAACGATTTTTGTTGATATAAAAATTGCTTAAGATTTGATATAATTACTATCTAAATGGGAATAAGCCACAAATAAAGGTTAAAGTACGTTGTTTGAATTTCCATTTCGAAAATCGTTCTCAAAATACAAACATTAGTAAATGAAACAAATTTTGTTTTTTTTTATTTTTTTTTTAATTTAATTTACTAATGGTTGTATTTTGAGAACGATTTAATTGTGGCTTATTTCCATTTAAATAGTAATTACTTTAAAATACCACAAGAAAATAGCTTCAGAACAACCCTGCGATTTGATGATCGCACAATCAGATTTGAGCGTGGCAAAATTGACAAATTTGCAAACATCCTTAAAACTTGGTGCATACGTTACAATAGACCAAATGCTTCACTCTTTTCGAGCTCGTTGCAGTTGGGTGTAATATATACCAAGTAAACACCGGCTACCGGTTTCAAGGCTTACAATATTTGCCCCATCATCAGGCCCCCGTACGTTATTTTTATATGTATTAAAAACTAAAAGATGTCAGATACAGGAAAGCTCTATAAACTAAGGTACTTCTGAAAATCACCTTTTCCCATAAGGTGCTAATGATGGGGTAAATATTGTAAGAATTGAAACCAGCAGCCTAAAAATCACCAACTTTATTAAATAAAAAACTACTTAAATCCGTAACTAATTTTAGAAGCCAAATTCACGGATTAAATGTACGGATTTAATATCAGATCTCGCTATTTGCGTCCATTCGAAGCCATGTTAGAGTTGCTTCTTAAGGCATAAGAGATTTATTTTCACGTTAAGAGCGACTGTGAATTGCCGTTCTGAAGAGGCCTATTTGGCCGACATACGTATAAGCGGATACACAGACGCACTATACTTGAAATCAAATCTTAACTGTCTTTCCCTTTTTAAAAACTACTTAATATAGTGAGTATTGACTAATTTCCCATATATTACATGATTTACTGTTGTTATTAATTTAGGGAAGACAAAATTAGAGAGAAGTTGCGGTCAACAGGGCCCACATAGTCATGATTTCCAACCTTCAATACATGATGGAACTTAAAGAAAAAAAATTAATTTTATCGGGAATTAATCTACCACTTAAATACACAATTAAACTCACATACAATTTATTTAAAACAAAAATAAAAATAACCAAAAAAGTGTTTAAACAATAAAATTTAAAATATAATTAAAAACTTGTCTATCAAATGATCTTTAAAATTAAATATGAAAATTATTCTAAAGTATGTTATTATGATAGCTTCTGTGTCATTTAGTTTGTCATGGATATTAGCTCTTGAGTTATCCTAAATAATAGGCATTAATTTAAGGTATATAAAACTAATAGTATTTAGTGGTTTAATTCAACATTTATTTTTCCCCTTCACTTTCCCTTCCTGAACCTTCAAATTGCTGATGCTCTCCAAACCTTGGTCTCTGTTTGTCTTGTTCATCTCTGAAAAATGGTTCGCGTTGTTTATCGTTCGGACTTCCCGATCTCGATCTTTGTCTTAAACGAACATTTTCATTATCAGACTCATCTGATTTTCCCCTGCTTCGACCTCTTGGTCTACCAGGTCTAGACTTTGGTTTAAAGTCAAAATTTTCTGTATCCGATTCATCTGATTTTCTTCGACTACGGCCTCTCCTTGGAGGAAATCCTGCAGGTTTTAATGTTTCATTTAATTCAGAACCAGAATCTCTCGGAGACCGCTGCATTCTCTGTGGAGGTGTTCTTTTGCTCATAGCTGGAGTCGAACCTAATGATGGCTCTTCTTCATCTAATAATAATTCTTGCTCTGGGCTTCTTCTATTTTTAGGACGAGGTTTAAACTTATTTAGTGCATCCTCGCAATCCGAACAATCAGACTGGATATTTAATTCAACTGAATCTCTCTTGGGTGGACTTGGTGGTGGTTTCGAATATTGTGGATCTTTTTTTTCTTTGGATACCGTTTCTTTTACATCATCTTTAGGTAAATTTTCATTGTTACCACCTCCATTCTCGTTGTTACCACCATCATTCTTTTTAAACGGATTTTTGGCATTAGGAAAATATTTTTGTCGAACCTTTTCGAATAAGTCGCCCAATACTTTAAGCCGTTTTTTTAAATCTCCTGGTTTACCCGTATTGCTAGCAACCACACCTGTAACAAACAAAAATGTGTTATAAAAGTTCTTGTATAAAAAAAGAAGAAGCAGAAAAAAAAGAGAAAAAAAGAAGAATAAAAGAAGAAGAGGAGTTTGTAAATAATAAATTCTATACATACGATCGCTACTCGAAAGGATTGAAATTCATCGTATGATTTGTAGGAAGCGTTAAGGAAGATCTGTGCATCAATCAGAATTCTTCAAAATCGGAAATTAAAAGCTATCTTAAATACTGAGAAATACCCCTACGTGGAGAAAATGGATATATTGTAAGCAAAAGAAGACCAAGCAAAAGTTATGGAAAACACGGTAAAAAGAGCCTGTTGGAAAAACTATCCCGTCAAAGATCTAGACTTTACAGAAGAAGTGGAAAAAAGATACAGGATACTAAAAAGAAGAAGGGGCAACATAGGTAATGCACACAGGACTGGATCAGATTACGAATAGATACGCTGAAAAAACTGCCAACAAAAGCAATAGTATACATAACAAATTTAATTAACAATATCTTAAGATGAAGAGAGATGAAGAATTGCTGGGAGATGAAAGGAAGCCAACCTAATAACGATCAAAAAACCAGATAAAAAAAGGCACATTTCGACAGAAATATCGACACTAAGCTTATTCCCAGCAATAAGCTAAATTGCAGAGTTGGTCACACTAGCTAGACTAAAATAAGAATTAGAAGAAATCGCATTAATACCTGAAGAACAGTTCGGATTTAGATCTAAACACTCATGTTAACTCATCTCATTACCCAAGGCATCCAAATTACCGTTCAGTAGAAAGCCTCTTGATTACTTATGTATGGTGATGGTAAGAGGTGGTTGGTTATAGCTTGGGAGTCAGATCGGTACCACTCCGTTACAGAGTGTGACGTTTGAAATTCAAACATGTGGGTACCACTGTTCCATAGTCACATGTCTGTGGCATGTAAACATGATGACATGCGAACACAGTTGTTAATCGAAGCTGAGGTTTGACAAAAAACAAGTGGAAATTTTGCGACTATATACATAATTGTATAAATTTTACACCAATAGCCTGAACAGCTTAAAAAATCATTTTTAAAACGTGAAAACTACCAGAATTTAATTTCAACTGTAAACCGCTAACTTTATATAATTTTATTCTTTCATTTTTATTCTTTTTTTTTCATTCTATTTTTTTATTCTTTTTAATTTTTTGATGCTTTTAGCCGTGCAGCTTATTCTCTCTTTTTCTATCAAAGACGTCGTAAAAGTCTAATTTACTCTATCAGCGGTACTACAAAAGTAAATTCGTTGTAATATTAAGAAAACAGTGTCTACTCTATTTAATGTATATCTTGTTAAAGATTTCTTGGACTAAATGTCAAACAAATAAGCAAATATTCAGCAATATGCAGAAATCAAAGAAACTCGTATTTACTCGGATAGTTTGGTCATGTAATCTGCTGATCATGCAAGGTAAAATCATCAATCAGGCAATCGCGTCCACTGCTGGACATAGGCCTCCCTCAGTTCTTTTCAGTGTTCTCTACACTGGGCCGCTTGTATCCAGTTTCCCGCTACACGTTTAATGTCATCGGTCCATCTAGTCGGTGGTCGTCTTCGGCTTCTTTTATAATTTCTGGGCCTCCATTCCATAATACGTCTTATCCACCGTTCATCTTGTGTTCTGACTAAGTGCCCTGCTCAGTTCCACTTAAGCGTCGTAATTCTTTCGATGACGTCTTGAACTCCTGATCTTCGCTTGATTTGTTGGTTTGTTATGTGGTCTCGAAGGCTCACGTTCACCATTGCACGTTCCATGGCTCGTTGTGTAACTCTAAGTTTATTCGCAGATTTTTGCGTGAGTGTTAAAGTCTCTGCTCCATAAGTTTGTACAGGTAAAAACACATTGGTTATAAACCTTTCGCTTGAGGACACATGGGAATTGAACTTTTTAGAATATGGCTTAATTTGTCAAATGCTGCCCATGTTAGACCTATTCGCCTCTGTATTTCATGTGTTTGATTGTCTCTGCTTATTTTGATTTCGTGTCCCAGATATTTGTAAGTGTCTGTTTGTTGTATGGTATTATTGTTAATAGTTATATTTCCACTCATTACGAGATTTGTTATAATTTTAGTTTTCTCAGAGTTTATCTTTAATCCTGCTCTTTCAGACAGACTTTTAAGCGAATGCATCATAGAAACTGTATCTTGTAAGTTATCTGCGATTAATACAACATCATCTGCAAACCTTAGGTGATTTAATCTTTCTCCATCTATTTCTTCTTCTTCTTAGTCGTTAACCTGATGCAGGTATCGTGATATCATGAAGCTGTTAGGTAATTTTTCCAATGTTCCTCCACGTTTTTCTATCTTCTGCCAATCTAGCACATTCTGACAATGGAGCGCCAATGGTAGCAACAATATGGTCCGTGTATCGTGTAGGAGATCTACCTCTACTTCTTTTGCCTTCTACTTTTCCCTGGATGGTAAGTTTTTCAAGACCATTTCTTCGAAGCACATGTCCAAAATAGCTTATTATCTGTTCTGTTATTTGTGTTCTTAGTCTTTTCTCCATCTATATTGATGCCCATATCTTGCCATTGAGTACCCTTAAATATTGACTCTAGAGCTGCCGTGAACAATTTTGGTGAAATATTGTCTCCTTGTCTAACTCCTTGACCTAAGCTGAATTTTTCTGTGTCTTCGTGCAGTCGTATACTTGATGTAGCGTTCTGATAGATGTTTTTGATTAGTGTCGTGTACCTGTAATCTATTCGGCTTTGATTTAGGGCTTCCAGTATTGTTTCAAACTCTACAGAATCAAAAGCCTTCTCCTAATCGACAAATTCAAGAACCAATGGTATGTTGTTGTACGTTGTATGTTGTTGTAGGTAAAATAGAGGAGAAGAAATCAAAAAATAAAGGAAAAATTGCGTGGTGAAAGAACCTCTGTGAATAGTTTAGCTGCATCTCCATTGAACTATTTATGAAAGCAGCCTAAAAATAGTTCAAATTATTGCTAAATTCGTCAGAAAATGGCACCATGAGAATAAGAACTTAACAAGTAAATAAATTAAAGTAATTAACTGAGAGTTTTTATAATCAAGAATAAAGTATAGAGAAAGAAAACCATCTGAAGTAACCGTAAGAAAAAACAAAATCACAAAATTAAAAATACGCCGTAAAATAATTTTGAAGAACATATAATATCTGACAAAAAATTTTATCAAATTCATAGGAGTACAAAAAATATAAAAAGTAAGATCATATTTTTTAAAATGTGTGACTACATATTATTATTTTATATATAATACTTACCAACCGCTACTCCAAGCAACGTACTGAGTACTACAAATCCTGCTGGAGAACTTTCGATTGCCTTCATAACCATTTTGTCTAATTTATTTTTTATATAAATCATCTGCACGTTTTGTTTGAGCTGCAGTTTTATTATTGCAAACTTCAACATATTTAATAGTTGGTTTGCTGTTATTCGCTTTTTTATTTTCTTCGATATCATCTACCATCCAACCGTTCTTTTGAGTTGTTTTCTTGTGGTTTTTGCTAGGTCTTCTGGGACGTTGGGGAACTACAAACTCATCGTCATCGTTTTCTTCGTTATTTTTCTGTTTATTATTTTTGTGGGATAGTTGAGGAATTGATTCTACCATGTTCTCTTTATTCCAAGACTTTGTTACAGCTTCTGCTTCTTTGTTTTTGTTTTTTATATTATCGTTTACGTCATTATCTTCATCATTCTCATCATCATCATCTAATGCTTCAGTGAACAACTTTCTGTTTTCTGTTTTATCTTGATCATGATTGTTATCATTTTGCCTGCCATCGTTATCTGTATTATCATCTGCGTCTTCATCACGTATTTTCTCTTTATTGTGTTTATTCGATAATTTTGTAACTACTGCTTTTTCATTGTTATCCGTTTGACTGCTATCGTTATCTGTATTATCATCTGCGTCTTCATCACGTGTTTTCTCTTTATTGTGTTTATTCGGTAATTTTGTAACTACTGCTTTTTCATTGTTATCCGGTTTTCTGGCATCGTATTCCTCGTTATCTCCGCCATTCTCATCATCCTCGTCTAATGCTTCAGTGAATGACTTTTTGTCTTCTCCTTTATCTTGATTATGTTTGTTACCATTTTGTCTGCCATTGTTATTTTCATTATCTACATTTTTATTACGTATTTTTTCTTTAGGTTTTTTCATTTCCATTCGTTCAAAATGACCGGATTCTCCTATTTGTTTTGGTCTTAATCTCTGCTTTCTTTTACAGGGTCCGACATATGTTATATCGTTTTCTTTAATGTATCGTTTTAAGAATCTAAGAGAGATATCCGAGCACTCTAAGCTATTTCCATCAGCCACTAAAAGCCTTAAATTAGGTAAAGGTCGTATAATTTCCACACGAAGATCTATTAGAAAATTTCCTCCTATGTCTAGTATTTCAAGATTAGGTAATGACGTGAAAATAATTGGATGCAGGTGCGCTATTTTATTGTCACTTAAGTCAAGAACCTAAAAACAAGAAAAAATGTTAAAATATAAAACTAAAATTAAATTTTTTTATTCAATTAAGATATATTTTTGTGCAGTCTTCAATTAGCAGATAAAATTCTGCAGACGTACTTTAATAAAAAGATTGTAATATAAATCTTTTATTTGAAATTTTTTACGTATTTATCATTTTTTGTGGGAATTAACCATAATTTTAGTTTAAAGTAAGTTAATTTTGTCAAAATAGACTTATTAACATATACATTTATGATTAATTCCTAACAATTTGATGCCAAAAATATTGATTTTGAAAGTAGAGGGCACACTCTTTGGACTATTTTTTTTTTGTTCTATTCTTTAGTAATTATTAAAACTTGGGAAAAAAAATAGTGCCATTGTGCCATGTCTTTTTTGAGAAATTTTAAAAATTTAATAAACGGAATAATAATGATTTTTGAGTGTAAAAATGTGACCTTAAAAAACAAAAATGAATCGGATTGCACGATTTGTATAGATTTTGGTACGTAGTGTTATTGTGATGCGGCCGATATTAAATTGGTATTTAGATTGTTGTCAGATCTGTAGTTTTTCTGGAAATCTAATATCATCATCAAAATATAACGGGGGTCCTACGCCGATTGCCGCTTCCCGCATTTCAGCCTCCATCTTTTCCTATCTCTCCAATCTCCCTCTTCTAAGCCTCTAGATTGCATTGTTTTTGTAATTTCTCTTCTCCAGGAATTTGGTGGTCTTCCCCTTTTCCTTCTTTCTGGCGGAACATACATTAAGGCTTTCTTTGGCCACCGCTCCTCCTCCATTCTCATCACGTGACCATACCATTGTAATTGCCTTCCTTGTATTCTATCTGAAAGAGTATCTCTAATTCCTGTACGGTTTCGTATTTCCTCATTCCTGATTCTTTCCATTCTCAATACTCGACATGACCTTCTAAGATAATCCATTTCCACAACGTCTACTTTATCTCGTTCATTCTTTGTCATCGTCCAACATTCGGCACCATATGTGGTAATTGGTTCTACAATTGCTCTGTATACGCGAAGTTTGGTATGCATCTTTATTTTATTAGACCACAGTAATGAATTCAGTATTCGGATGCATTTTTTCCCTTGAGTTATTCGGTTTTGTACATCTATCTTAACTCTGCCATCTGCTGATATGATGCTTCCTAGATATTTATACTGGTTGCAGCCTTTTATGACTGCGTTTTCAAGCCTCAGATCTGTGGTATTTTCTCCAATTTTTAAATATTCTGCTTTGCTTATGTTTACAGTAAGCCCCCATTTGGCATATTCCTCAAATAATTTTCGATTCATATAATTTATATCTTCCTCATCGGTTGCAACCACCACCTGATCATCTGCAAACAACAATGTATACAGAGTTTCTTGTCCCACTTCGATGCCCATAAATCTACATTTATTTCTCCAATTCCTCAATGCTTCTTGGACGTATATTTTAAAGAGTGTCGGTGACAAATAGCATCCTTGCTTTAGGCCTTTAGTGACTTTAAATTCATTTGAGGTTCTGGTTCCAATTTTTACACAACTAACTGCAATTTCGTACAATTTATATATCGCTCGGATATACGTCGAATCCAATCCGGACCTTTTGAGGACCTCAAACATTTTCTTTAACGGGACACTATCATATGCTTTCTCAAGGTCTATAAATACCAAATGGGTCTCTCTACTTCTTTCGACACGCTTTTCAATTATTTGTCGTAGGATAAATATATTATCAAGGCAGGATCTCCCGGTACGAAAGCCGCTTTGTTCTTCAATATCTTGTATCTGTCTTTCAACCCTCTTATTTAATATTCTGCCGTACAACCGGCCCACAGAGCTCGTCACACTAATACTTCTATAATTGGAACAGTTTTTTTTATTCCCTCTCTTATATATGGAGCTTATATAAGATTTATTCCAATCTTTAGGAATTTCCTGGTCTCCACACATACATTTATTGAAAAGGTCTACTATTAATTCTAAAAGTGCAGTCGGCCCATATTTAACCAGCTCTATGGGGATGTCTCCAGGCCCTGCAGCTTTTCCGTTTTTAACCTCTTTTAAGGTTTCCGTCAATTCAGATAATGTTATTATAGGGATTTCCTGTATTTTGTCTCTGTTGTCTATTAATTCCCTTTTTCTCCCATCTGTACTCTACTCTATCCTCTTTCAGCAGTTTCGTATAATATTCTTCCCATTCATTTAACTTTATGAGAGAAATGTTGTCTTCATTTTTATCATTTTTCCTAAACTGTTTTAATGTTTTCCAAGCTTGCGCCACTTTTGTTCCACCCATAAATCTGTCCAGTTCATCACACTTAGCCTCCCAGTTTATATTTTTCGCCTTATCCACGTCTTTTTTAACTTCTCTATTCCATTTAGCGTATATTTCTCTGTCTTGAGGATCTTTGGATTGAAGCCATATGTGATATGCTTGTTTTTTCTTGAGAACTTTCTCTTCTAGTTCCGTTGACAACCATTCAGGTTTTCCTTTTTTCCGATTTTCAACTTTTCCCAGTGCTTCATTTGCCGCTTCATGAATATATTTTTTAATTACCTCATACAGACTTTCGGGGTCTAAGTCCTTTGTTTCTATATTTTTTATTTTCTGAGCTATTCTAATTTTATATAAGAACTTTGTCGAATCTTGTTTAAAGCTTTCCAGGTTATATTTTATGTTTTCTATGGTTGTTCCTATGTCTGTTACTTCATAATTTTTGTGACTTGATTGTTCTCTCTTAAATGTCACCATTACTTTTGCAATAATCATATGGTGGTCACTTCCACATTCTGGCCCTCTAAACACCTTCACGTCCTTCGTTTTTAGTTTAGAATCTTTACGATGAATGAAATAGTCAATTATTGATTTTAAATTCCTAAAATCTAATAAATTTTCTTATTTCAAATAGATCATCCTGTCCATTATTTGCTTTTTAAAGTCCTTAAGAAATACTGATTATTTTTCTCATTATGTTCTCTATACCTAAATGTCATAATTTCGAAGGTATTTCTACATTTACATTATCTTTGCTTAATTTAACTACTATTTAACTGGGAATAAGCCACAATTAAAGGTTTAAAGTACGTTTATTGACGTTTCAATTTCCACTTCGGAAATCGTTATTAATATACAAACATTAGAGATGTTGTATAGATACACATGGAAACCTAAACATTCTCACCGAAGAAGTTTTGTAGTTCCCTCTCTGACCCCACGTTTTATTTTAATATTATCGAATTCTCCTGCCTCTGTACGGATAGACGATGTTTGATTCCAGTAAAGATTGCTAATAGTTCTTACATCACAGGTGTTTATTTCAATATTTGTTAATATCTCCATCAGCTTGTCGTGTTTTACTGTATCAAATGCTTTATGGTAATCAATGAAGTATGCATAAATATCGCAATTCACATCTCTACATAGTTGAAATATGTATGCTTAAGAGAGCCTCTCTCGTACCCACTACTGTCCGAAAACCAAACTGTGCAAGGCTGATTTTTTCTTGGCATAGTCTATACCTATATCCTTTGATGTATGATTTTTAGAAGTACGTTTAATATATGGCTCATTAAGCTGATGGTCCGAAATTCATTGCAGGATACGGATTTCGTTTTCTTAGGTAGAGCAATAAACGTCGACTTTAGCCATAATCTTTTTATTACTCCGTTTAAATATATGCCATTGAATATTTTTGTTACTCGTTGAGTACGGTCGGTATTAAATAGCTTTATGAGTTCAGCATTTGCATTGTCAGATTCAGGAGCTGTGCTATTTTTAGTTGTGATATTACTTTTTCCACTTCATCTGATGTGATTTGTAAGTGGTCATTACATATGTAGGACGGAGGTTGTTTGGACCTATTATCATTAAAGAGTTCTTGTATGTATTTGGCCCATATGTATATTTCCTGATTTTTATCTGTGATGATGTTCCCATGTTGAGATTGCAGTTTGCTAGCTGCAAATGTATTTTACAACAGCTTGTTCCGTAAAAATATTATTTTAAAAACTTATAAGAAAATACCCAATAAATAATTGTACCACTGTCTCATTATACTCAGATTCGTTTTAATATTATTTGTAAAATTACTCTATTAAAATATATTTTAATATCATCCTTTAACTTACCTTAAGAAATGGCAATTCTATACGTGGCTGTTCGTTTATATCTTGTAAATTATTACCTCGTAGATATAATTCTCTAAGGGATCGTAAGTCAAAAAACCATTGGCCCAAAAAATATTGAATGCTGTTGTATGAAAGATCCATACTTTTTAAATTATCTAAACCTTCAAAAGCATGTAAACTTATTTGGCTAATTTGATTGTAGGATAGATTGAGTAGTTTTAAATTCGCGAGGTGCATGTTCTGAAAAGAAAAAAAAAAGTAAATGGTAATACATATTTAATACAAACAACATAAATAAATTTACATAATCAAAACCAACTGGAGGAATATATTTTTATGCCTTTTTAAAATATACATTGAACGGCAAAAAAATGGCCATCCTATAAATTTCCGAAAATAAAAATTGTTTCATACTGCGTCTCAATTTAATTTCATTTAAGTTGTTATCTGTTTATCTTCTAAGTTGAAAACATTTAATTAAACAGTAACCTATCTATTTAAACGTGGCTCTGCACTAAGTGAATAATTAAGATATAAAGTTATCTACAGTAGATGTTGCTCGAGTCATTGCATTGCTACAAGACGAAAGAAGTCATGTTTATGTATCCAAAACTTTTGGTATTCCAATAACTGCAGCACAGAGATCTTTTCATCGCTTTATATAGACTGGTACATACTGACGTCGACCAGGTTCCAGTCGTAGGAGAGGTACCTTGCAAAGAGATCGTTTTATTGTGATGGAACTTTTAAGAAATCGTCATTCCTGTGCCATTGCTGCAAGAAACGTCTGCAGGAGGTTCGAAATGTGAATGTAGATGAGAGAACGATTAGAAGACGCCTTAATGAAAGAGGACTAATTGCAAGAGGCCGGACACTATAGAAATCGGATAATTGTTGCTCGACAGTATTAACACTGAGATATACAGGATTGGAGCCGAATTCTTTTTATTGATGAATATTTACTTCTTACTTTACTTTTTACTTCTGTTTATTGTCTGGCGATGACCAAGAGAGTAATTGGAGAAGAAGAAATTAAAGATAGGTCCAAGATTTTATGTCTCAGAGGAGAAAGTTTGGCGGTGGTGGTGTCATGGTTTGGTCTGGAATCACATTTAAAGCTTGAACTGAACTTATTTTCATCACTGGTTCCCTGAATGCTCACTGGTATATAGAGGATATTTTGGCAAAAGCACTAGTTTCATTTAGGAAATTTTTTGGAGACAATTTACATTTATTTAATATCATCCGAACGGGCAGGAACGAATGTGCCGATGGTACCTACTATAATTCGGTCTCCATAAAGGTTCCTTTAAACTGTTTAGTTTTATTGTACATATTTTAAAAAAATAGTATAAAGTATTTTATATTTAGTTAAGTCCGTAAGTGTAAATCTGTATTCTTGGAATATATTCTTATATTTTATTGCCATTTTTATTTATATAACCTAACTTATTTCGTCAACTAATGCCTTACAGTTCGGCAGTACAGCCGCGCAAGGAAGACATTAAGATATTACCTCACCACGGTAAACGACTCAATCATAACCAGGGATTAGGGACCATATGAATTAATTCAGACCAATCGTGCCCTCAGCTCAACGTATATTAAGTAAAATCAGCGCAGTCGTCCCATACTCATCCGAACCACTGGGGTTATAAAGAACAACAATAGAAAAACATATACAAAGGTTACAATAGTAACTATATAGATTATAATTTAAAAGTCTTTTGTGTCTATAGCTATAACAAACTTATGATGTTTAGATTTTAATTATCTCTAAGAAGCCCTTGCGAAAGTTGAGCTTACTTCTCGTTTCCTGGGTTATTTGACATTAGGCTAAAATAAGTTTTACTGTAATTTTTATTTGACAATGGCTGCAGTATGGAAGGTTGTCTTTGTAATTCGGTAAAAATGTGTATGGCGAGTGTGACCAAGACATAGTCAAGTAAAGATAACTTATTTCTTATTAGGTAACAAAAAAGATATTTTTAGATTTGATAAAACTTTAGCTAAAGACTTTAATTTGTCTTGGTCTGAACACAGCGATCATTTATTTTGCCACGCAATAATAACTGTATTTTTAAGCCAAATTGAAGATCTTTGGACTATTTTATTTAGTTGAAAAAGACTATGACCTGCTGTTTCTTCGTGACCTAGAAGTCAAAAACGTCGTTACCGTGTTCTCCAATATGAGATGGAACCCAGATTATTATCAAATGTTTATTATCTTTTGCAACATTTTGAAGTTCTTTGTAAATGTCTTTATGAATAGAGTAGCTGGAGTATACGTTTTAAATGTAATAAAAGCTGTATGTATAAATAATGTTGCTATAAAGAAAATTTGTATTGAATTTTTATTTTTATATTATTCATGAAATCAGCAGTAATTTGACGAAAATTCGTGCAATGTAATTATATGAACCTAAAAACATTCGTTTCATCACTATAATCTGTTTCTTAAAATTTGACAGATTACGAGTAAAAATTCCAATCAGCTAATAAATCATAAACGTACACTGTGCATATTCCACATAATGAATTTATTTACTGTGTATGTACCTACTACACCTAAAAGATAAAAACAATACAAATTTAACTTGATCGATGATTTAACTCGATAAGTTAAATGTCAACGAATACTATAAACTACATAAATATAAATACATTGTTTTTTGTTGTTTATTATGAAGATTACCATACGCCTAAAAGACCAAAATAAACTAAAAATATTTAATTCTTAAGGTTGATAAGATAGTACTGTTTTAAAATAATCTCATAACTAAAAATATATAAAAATTAATAGGAAATACCAGTAGTTGGCTGTACACAATCGTTTAAAAAACTTATACAGAAGTCAAACACTTCACATTAGTAGGTATAAAAGATTTAATTTAAAACTTTTTTAAAAAGTGTCGTCAAAATTTATACAGGTGCATAACGTGACGTTTTCGATCTAGTTCAGATCAAGAGCCAAATAGATGAGATGATATAAATTGGATATCTTAGCACTTTGGGAAATAATATGGAAACAGAAAGGAATAATAGAAATGAAAAACGTTACACAGTAGTACTTGATTAGTAAAAATCTAAGAAATAAAGTCATGGATTTAAGAGCAATTAGTGGAAGTATTTCATACATCAAAATTTAAAAAACACAAAAGACCTACAAGTGCCAACTGTGAGTGAAGTGATAGCGTCACATGGTGATAAACATTTACAATGATTAGAGAACTACGCATCAATGTTAGTTTCAAATTTATTGGATTATAGTCAATAAACGACACGCCTGAAGCAAAAATTATTATTAGATTTACCATTCTTGAGTTAAGAATCGATAGTTGTAATACACATGTAGAGTAAATATTTATTAAAATATTTCTCTTCGCGCCAACAATGTAAGGTCAACAAATGTGTTTATGATATTTCTTTTTGACTAGTTGTACAGTAAGCAAAAAAAAGTAATACATAAAATGTAATATAAACAATGTATAAAAAAGGAGACCCAAGGGATACCAGTAACTATAAAGAAATCATGCTACTAAACACCACATACAAAAAAAGGATTCAGAATTAGAAAATCAAGCCCAGACGCCATACAACTTTAAATAATATAACTGACTAAAAAGTGCTACCAAGACATAAATTTACACTTTCTATTTATAGACTTCCAGTAATCCTTCCAGTTCAAAATAGACAATTCTATATCCAAACCCATACATATAAGAAGAGGCGTTCGACAGGGATGTGTGCTTTCCCCCTCTTTTATTTAACATTTATTCGGAAGCCATATTTCAAGAGTCTTTGGAGGATGCAGAGATGGGAATCAAGGTGAATGGAGTATTGATCAACAACATACGATATGCTGATGATGGTGTCTTAATTTGTGACAACATAGTCGATCTTCAACAACTTTTCACTATAATCGGAGAATACAGTAAGCGAATGGGATTAGAGTTAATACCAAAAAGACCAAATTTATGACCATCTCCAGAAACTTAGATGCACTTGAAAACTCCACCATAACACTGAACATATAGTGCTGCTATATGGCGTAGAGGGCTGGACACTCAAAACGAGGGATATAAACAGGTTAGAAGCTTTCGAAATGTGGCTTTATCGCCGTATCCTAAAAATACCATGGACAGCGAAAATCACAAATATAGATATCCTTAAAAGAATAACCAAGAACGTCAACTTTTCGAAACCATCAAGAAAAGGAAAACGGTGTATCTAGGTCACATCATGCGAAATGAAAAATACCAGTTCCTAAAACTTATAATCGAGGGTAAAATTGAAGGCAATAGAGGAATGGGACGCAAGAAAATGTCCTGGCTTCGAAACATAAGGCAATGGACAGGAATTAACGACATACAATCTCTGATACATATTGCAAGAAATAGAGAATTAATGGAAAATGTGATCGCTAACATCCATTAGTGGATTTGCATCTGAAGAAGAAGAAGAAGTAATCCTGGAAGCTTCACAGCCTTCATACACACTGTAAGTAGATAGCAGCTCTTAATCGGAAAATAAAATAATTAACAGATAGACAAAAACAGGCACATGTAGACAAGCTGAAATAAACAACAGAATAGGAAATATGATAAACTTTACTACGCAATGAACAATAACTTTATAAATGAAAAAATCTATTAGAAAACAAAAAATAAAGTATACAAATCATGGACATTAAACCCAAGACAGAAAAGCTAGATTCAGGTCGTCGTAGAAATGAAGAATGTGAGTAGAGTTTGAGGTGTGACAAACAGAGATAGATTACGTACTTTCCAAATTAGAGAAGAACTTTTGAAGGTTGAAACTATTCTGGAGTTTATTGCGAAGAGACAATTGAGCTGGTGGGAACACTTGGCGATCATGGACAGCCAAAGACAAGCTAAAAAAGTATGTCAAGTAAAATAAGCTGGTAAAATTCCATTTCACTTAAGATTAATTTTTCCCATGTCGATATTGCTAAGCCTTATTAGAAGAAATAACGAAAGATATTTAAAGGTACTTCTAGGGGTAGGAGACCATCCGCTACCTGTCTACTTAATTTGAATATTATCAGTCAGTTCAGAAAAAGCTTTTACCACAGTCGGTCGCAAAATCTTGTGAGCTAACAGTCGCGAGCTCGCAAATTCGCTTATTATTATATTATATGTATTTGTAACTAAATAGTTCGCATCGCAATATTATTCATAAAGATTATAAGTCAATCATTTATAGTAATCATTGTTTCT